AAGAAGAGTAGAGGGAGGAGACACAGAGTGCGGCTTCAAATGCCGCCATTGTTTTGAATGTTGTGTGCAGAGAGAGTAGGAAGTGAACAAGGAAAGGTCCGGGGTGGACACTCGACACTCAATTCATATTGCATGGATTAAATACAACATCCCTTCTATCGAGTTTTTACGGTATCCCCTCGTATTTGAGAAAATACACTAACATCCGTTCAGGTTTTAATTCACCCTCATATCATCTTTCAACGAATATTCTGCTAATAAATTGACAACTTTACCTTTATAACTAAATACTTAAACTGACACATCCCGATCTAGGATGTCCATTAGGACTCCGAATCGAGCTGCTGTGTTAGCCACACCTGGAAGGTGACGAAGCTATAAAGTGTATGGATGTGGAAGATGTGAATAAATTTAAACCTAAAAGTGCCTAAATACAAGAGTGCGCGGTGAGCAGGTATAAACTCATTTCACACGTGATGACAGAGCATAAGTACAGTACAGTAAAATAGGGTGAGAATTGTACCATCAATGATAATCGACTACATCAAGATTTGTCAATAATCCTCGTCGGTACGAAAACTCTGCTACTAACACCTGGAGGGGGAAAAAAAGGATGAGTGGGCCTAAAAATAAAGTTTTAATAAAACCCTTTTGAAAGCGTTATAACCCCTCGCCGTAAAACCCGTATAGTTTCCAGAAAATAATACTACTACGTGGGTATAAAAACCAACGCACAAGAGCAGCGAAAACTGAAGTATGCCATATCATAATATCTCGGCAATAATAAATGTAAGCCAGGTGTGAAACCAATATAAAATAGTATGTCAGTTGGAGTCACCAAATGCGACCTGTACGACTGGGCATGTAGCTCATCAATCTAGGCTAGCACACGAGTCGGAGTTACCTAGTGTGACTTGCATGACAGGCTGGGTATAAATATGTACGCTCAAGTGCTACGATCACGTGAAAGCTATGCAATAAATCACGGGTCACCTACGATTCGAAACCACCTATTGTGGTCTATACGACCGGCTGGCACCAAACTTGGATTCAAGGTGAGTGTGCGGTGCGGGAGGTGAACAATCACGTGAAGGCTGGCCCTAGCCTCGGGCGAGAGCACTAATACCGGGGTGCAGTGCAGCCATGATGAGCTCTAAATAAACGTGTGCATACCAATGCAATACAACCCATTCAATCACATAATACTCACTTGAAGCTTGCTTGAGTCTTCACAGCATCACACAATACAATTCACAAGTGTAACAATACAATATTTAAAATGTAACTTATTTACGACATGGTAAGCAAAGCATAGTTCCATATAAAAAAATGTTTCTGGAAACCGTAAAGTTTACACACACACACACACACATACACACACTATAAAAAGGAAAAGAAAAAAACCCACTCACCGATATCTGCGCTATAACTCCCTAGCATGAATATCAAGGCGTCACGAACAATCATCGCCTAGAACAAATATCAATTCACAACTCAGAATTCTTATCGATAGAACACGTAACTTATGTAAAACACATCCCCAAAGACATTCTAGAATGATTTGAAACCCATTGACCAAAAGTCAACCGTCAATCAAAGATCGATGGTAGGGTCCATAACCCTATGTAACTCAATCCGGAAGATCCGCATCTCAAATTTATGATCCGTAACTTCCAAAGATCCACATTATACTTCTAAAACATCATACTAAAGTTTCATTACGATCCAACGGTTGGATCTCCGCCAATTGCAAATTCAAGTAGCGGTCAACGTTTTATTTTATGAACTAACAAATCCAATTCAGGAAGATCCGTATGTCGGATTCCCGATCCATAAGTTCCTATGATCCTCATAAATTACATACTATAACGTATTAAAGTTTGGTGACGATCCAACGGTCGGATCATCGATTACTATAATAATCAAGTGGCGGACCTTAATGGAACTAGGTTCAAACGATAGAAATTCGTCAATCGGACTTCACATACAAAATTGGAGAATCAAATTTAGCCTAGGAAATTCAGGAGATGCCTCAGCCCACACGCCGCCATACGTGGCGGTCGGCTGCCCCGACTCGTCGGAAAAATCCACTATTTCTACAAATTCTCAAATTTCATGGAAATGAAGATCTCAATGAGTAGAGCAAGTTTCATCCCTGCCGCCAAGTCCATTTTGACCTAAAAATGCCTCAAATCGCCATAAACTCGTCAAAAACCTAGAAATTGGTGGTTTTGATTCAACTCCAAACAAGCTCTGACGCCCCAACCAATGCATGGGCTTTATTCCTGAGGTTGAGGATAGTCTATTAGTGGTGGTGGTTGACGGAGTTAGCTTCACAATCATTGGATTTCCGTCGTGACACCCACGTAACCCACGGGTTTTGTTTTTCACAGAATCAAGGCTAAATCTAGTGAAATTTGATTAGAAATGGAAGATAGGAGATCATGGAATGTTTTCCAGGTGATGGAAGACGAAAATCACGTCAGAATATCACAAAATGCATCAGGTCGACGGGGAGGAACCGGGTCACGGGTGATCCGGTGCTCCTCCACGATCTCTTTTCCCCTCCTTTCTTCTCTCCCTCATTGGTCACTCTCTTCTCTCCCTTCTTTCTGATTGGGCATCCCGCCCCTCCTTTCTCTTCTTTATATTTCATCTCCACTACCCATCTTTTCTTCCATTTAATCTAGGCCACACACATGGCTTTCCAGATTTTGCTCCAAAAATCTGGAGCACTCCAGAAAATAATAAATTTACAATTTTGCCCTCGACTTCATTCGTTAATAACTCCTTCGTTATAACTCCAAATTACATTTCGTTTACGTCCACGTGTTCATAGCGACGAGTACTACGAGGATACGCCAAGAAAATGGATCTTACATAACTCGACAAGGCGATCAACAAAAGTCAATGCATTTGCCTCGAAGGGCATTTTTGAAATTTTACATTTTAAAATTATAAAAACCGTAGTTTTTGGAGACAGGTCGTTACATGAAAAATAAAGAAAATCTTTAGAAATTAAAAAAAATTATTAAAAAGTAGCTTAAACATTGAAAAACACATAATAGGATCCTCTCCGGATCCTCTTTGTGGGGATTCGGAGGATCAATCATGTCCGTTCATCGTACATCGTGCGGCCAATTTTCATTAGGTACTATGTATATTCAATTTAAAATTTAAAATGATTTTTAACCTCATGATGTACAATGAACTGACACAATTGATTGATCCTCGGATCCCTACAAAGAGGATCCAGAGAGGATCATTGTCCAAAAAACACCACCATTGCATCTTCATTTCTTTTTCCCTTAGAATACACGTAGACCTAGCATTGACGTCGTATTTCTTGTGTCTGTGTCATTTTCGTGACATACCCGATATCTTAACGGGTCATGTCGTGTAACACCCATTAAAATAAACAGGTAATATGACCCGATCCAAAATTGACCCGTTAATATTATCAGGTAATATGATTTGATCTATTACCTGTGCAAAAAAAAATATTTTAAATTAATAAATAATGAAAATGAAAAACATAATTTGACCAAAATAAAATGGAAAATATAATACTAAATTAGTATATGCATTTCACATTGTCACATAAATATTACTTCAAAACATAAAAAAGACATTTGTCTTTCAAATATTACATACCCTAAAATAAGACCCTAATGAAAAACATTAGTACATTACTACAAAATACTGAATGTTTAAGGATATGCAAAATGAAGGGAGTTGCGTTTCAAACCTTGCACGTTTTTTTAATGTGATTGTTATTTTTAAATTACTTGATATTTTTATTTTTATGTGTTTTATAATTTTTTTAATCTCACTCTTTGCCCATAGAATTCTATAAAAATAAATTAATAAATAAAAGTTAATTTTTTTTAAATTTATATAGAATAATAATAAATAATACATATTTAACATACAATGCATACATATACAACTAGCTATTGTATTTTATAATAAATTTTTTTTAGTAGTTTGAAAAGTTAAAATTTTCAAAACAATTTTTTTTCTTAATGTGTCGAAACAGGTTATCCACGTGTCATCCTCGTGTAAACCTGTTAATGACCCGTTATTAACGGGTTCTTATCGTGTAACCCGATAACGACCCAATTAGTTATCGTGTGACTCGAAACCCGTTATTTTCGTGTCGTTTATATGTCATGTTAACAGGTCATGTAAGAAATTGTCAGGTATAAATACACGGTTGTGAATCCATGAAATCAGCTGAGAGTCTGTACTTTCCTAATCAATGTATTCCAAAACTTGTTCTTTCACATAATCTAAAAACATTTCATCTTTTGAAACAATGAAGTCAGAGAGAGAACCAGATTTGGGATTATAATCTATATTTAAAGCTGGCAGGGCTATTGAACGGTGGTTTTTGGGGTCACAAACTTCACCAAAAAAAGGTGGATAGAAATGCCCCTCAAACAAAAAACTTCAAAAGCAGCCCAAAATAATGCATCAAATGTGGCAGGGTATTTTCGTCATATAAATAACGATGAATAGTGTTTTAATATTTAACTATTACTGTACAGTGATAAACAGTGTTTTTAATATTTAACTTTTTCCTGTATAGTGTTTTTTTTTATTTTTATTTTTTATTTTTATAATTAGTACCTCACAATAGGCTTGCAATAATGTGATTCAATTAGTTATTTATTAAATGTTATTTTCTCTGTTCTTAATGTAAATTTAATAGAATGTAGATCGAAATTGAAAATCGATTTTATTATGTAGATTTAGCTGCTTTGATTGGTTTATAATGAGTTTCTTCTATCATGATCTAATATTATTTATTTAAAACATATAAGTCGCGCGCAGCATGCCGCACTACAAGAAATCAAATAAATATTGGCAGAAATATTTGCCTCTAAAAACACCCAATAGGGGCAAATATGTTGAAAAGTTGCCCCTAATAAGAAGGAGGGGCGGATAGTAGATTCGCCCCTAAAAGAACCATTGCTATTGTTATTAGAGACAAAAAATGTCAAACATCCGCCCCTAATGTTTTTGTTGCCGTGTTGGCAAGTTTTATAAATACACATCATCACAGGCAGAAGCATCCGCCCCTAATACTTTTTAATTATATAAAATAAATAAATCGAGCATATAATTACACCTGCTCCTAATACTTTCAATTATATAAAAAAATTCACAATATAATAAATGCATTATCCACCTAAACGTTAGTTATTGGTTTTGAATCATTCAAAATATTGAAACCCAACATGCTTCATCTTCTTCTTTCCAGATCTCAAAATCTTCTCCTTTCTCTTTTAGTCTCTCAAGCTTTGCAGATTAGATCTCTAAGTTCATCTTCTTATTTTGCAGCAGCACACGAGTCTTTCTCAATTAACAACTGTTCATAAACAAATACAAAAAGAAAAAAATCAAATGTAACAAACAACAAAGCCAAATTACAAAGTTTACTAATTCGTACGAACAAACAAAAAAATCAATCCTGAATTTCACAAATCAATTAAATGTATAAGAAAAATCAATAAACAATGATTAACACAAGGTAATTATGTCACATCCCGGCCCGGGCAAGACCATTTCCCGGGCCCGTTCCACCACCGTAGCACGATATTGTCCGCTTTGGACTTACCATTCCCTCACGGTTTTGTTTTTGGGAACTCACGAGCAACTTCCCAGTGGGTCACCCATCATGGGATTGCTCTAGCCTCATTCTCGCTTAACTTCGGAGTTTCCACGGAACCCGAAGCCAGTGAGCTCCCAAAAGGCCTCGTGCTAGGTAAGGATGTGAATATACATTTAAGGATCACTCCCCTGGGTGATGTGGGATGTCACAATCCACCCCCCTTAGGGGCCCGACGTCCTCGTCGGCACACACGCGACCAGGGTTAGGCTCTGATACCAAATTGTCACATCCCGGCCCGGGCAAGACCATTTCCCGGGCCCGTTCCACCACCGTAGCACGATATTGTCCGCTTTGGGCTTACCATTCCCTCACGGTTTTGTTTTTGGGAACTCACGAGCAACTTCCCAGTGGGTCACCCATCATGGGATTGCTCTAGCCTCATTCTCGCTTAACTTCGGAGTTCCCACGGAACCCAAAGCCAGTGAGCTCCCAAAATGCCTCGTGCTAGGTAAGGATGTGAATATACATTTAAGGATCACTCCCCTGGGTGATGTGAGATGTCACAAATTACCTCTGAAAATTCTTTAGAACCTCCTTCTCCCTATCAATCAAATGATATTTTTATTCCAAACTATTCATGAAATTTTCTTCCACTCTAAATTATTCAAAACCCCCTCAAGTATGCCTACAAAACAAAAAATTCAAGATGGAAAAATCCCTTCGATCAAACCAAATGAAATGAGTTTTATCATCTCTTGAACAAACCTTTCTTCCGGTGCTCTTGGAGTAGCAAGGGAAAAATAGACAACAAAAGATTATGAAGAATGAAAGAAAGAGAGGACGAGTTCTGCACAAGAGAAAGGGAAGGGAAGAAAAATGCACAAGCAAAAGGGATGGGAAGCAAAATGAAGGACACGGGAAAAATGATGAACTGTGCGGCAGTGGAAGAGAGAAAAGAGAAAAATGAGGGTAGTGGGTATGTATTCGAATTATGTAACATTTCACATCGCCTAGGGGAGTGAATCCTTTAAACCTTATATGTATATTCTCATATTTACCTGGCACGAAGTCTTTTGGGAGCTCACTGGCTTCGGATTCCGTAGGAACTCTGAAGTTAAGCGATTCCCTTCCGGGGCGCCACCACATCCTGGGCTCAACTTCACCCCGCCACCACATCCTGGGCTCAACTTCACCATAGCACAATGTTGTCCGCTTTGGGCCCTGACCACACCCTCACGGTTTTGTTTCTGGGAACTCACACGAAAACTTCTCAGTGGGTCACCCATCCTGGGAATGCTCTCGCCCGAACTCGCTTAACTTCAAAGTTCCGATGGAACCCAAAGCTAGTGAGCTCTCAAAGGGCCTCGTGCTAGGTAGAGATGAGAATATATATATATAAAGTTTACAGGATTCACTCCCATGGGCGATGTGGGATGTTACAAATTAGGGTTTAGATAATTAATGGTTTTTTTTTTCCGGGTAAATAGTTATATCCTTCATTTTTATTTTTTGTAAAAATTAATTAGTAATTAAACATATCCGTCTTAATCTTCTCAAAAAAAAAATCCATCTTAAATAGATTTTTTTTTTTTCAAATAAATAGGTACAAATATCCGCCTCTAATGAAAAAAATAAACAAATTTTATAATTATTAGTTGAATTAGAGGCTAATTGAATTCCTATTACTTGTTCCTCAAAGTGATAAAATTAGTAGAGGCGGTTTATTGTTTGTTCCTATTACTTTAATAGAGACAATTGCATGTCTGTGCCCTCAATGAATACTATTAGAGACAAAATTTTATTTTTGCATCTAATATTATGCTTCTAATACTCACTTTTCCTGTAGTACCATGATTCAAAAAATATCTTCTGTGCATATATGAGCACATGCATGAAGGCTAGTCTCTATGAATTTCAACGTCAATATTGCTCCATAAAGGTGATTCATGTTTTTGCAGGATGACGGGGCACACTTGTTTGAATTTTAAGAGACATAAGTGAAACTTGAGAAGAGGAAAAGGCCCTATGGGTCTACTTTGTTAACCTTGGGATTTAAGCAGTATAAGAGCTAGTTTGGTATAACTATGCTTAAAAAAAAAAAAAAAAAAAACTTCTAATGTGCTGTGAAAGTAAGCAGTTGTAAAATAAAGTAGATAGTGTTTGTTAAGCTTTTTTTGTAAAAGCGCTTTAAAAAAAAAAAAAAAAGAATTTAAGTGTTTAGTAAACTTTTATATAAAATTGCTTTGTAATAGGTGTAATATAATATTTTTTTTATTTGAAATCTTTCTAGAACTCTCTACCATTTTCTCAGTCCTTTTCGTCTTTCTTCATCTTTTCTCCGTATTCTCCATCTTTTTAATCTCCATCTTCTCCATCTTCATTTACCCAGAAAAAGTGGCATATTTCAAAATGGCATCTTTCTCGGTGATATCGACATAATCCCACCTCTACCTCCCAAAGAAGTTAGCCTTTCCAATACCTGTGAAAGCATTTACCCAGAATATTAATTCTTCACTCCTCCATCCGCGGTGCAGAAATGGCGATTCCTGACAAGTCAAAGATGGACAACAAAGGTGCAAAGATTTGGGTGTGGTTGCATTGGGAGAGAGAGGGGGGGGGGGGGGGGGGGGAAGGGGCTTGGGTGTGATGGGGAGGTCATGGTGGCACTACAACCCCAATTCCTCCATCATTAGGTGTCTCTTCCAAGAAACACTCCATCCCAACCCCCAATAAAACTCTCTCTCTCTCTTTCTCCTCTCTGTAACACTGAAACAAATTCAATTTATTACCCAATCCAAATTATTTATTTCCGCAGCTATTTCTCACCATATTTGTTAAAATTTAGCTAAATTGAGTTGTGGGTATTTGAAATATTTTAAATTTTAGCTTGAATTTATCAAATTGGATTCTGGGTACCTCAGCTTTTCAGCCATGCTAGGGTTAGGAGGAGATTGGGTCAAGAGGGTAAGTTGGAGTTCGAAAATGGGTTGGAATCGAATAGTGTAGGAGTTTTGATGTGGCAGGAGGTGGATGCTTGAGCTGGGAATGAAGTTTCAGGTTTGGTTCTGCAAGGGTTTTGCAAGAGGGCGTGCGAGAGTCTGAGAGTGAGAGGAAGGCAGGAGAAAGGAGGGAATGTTGGGAAATTGAAAAATTTATTAATGAATTTACTGTTCAGCCGTGTTTTTCAAAATATGCTGCTTTTTTTAAGCTGTTTTTTGCAACATCATGTTTTTGATTTTTTTTTTATTCGTAAGTTTGAAATAAAGTTGGTTTGGAGTGTTTACCAAACACCAAAAATTTTCTCAACATTTTTTTATACCTATTTTTTTTAAAAGCACCTCAGTATCAAATCTATTGTTCTAAAAATTCCTGCCTAGCGCTAAATAAGCTGGTTTTTGCAGCTTCAGGTTTTTGGTTTTTTTTTATTTTATTTTTTATCCAAAACTTTGAAATAAAGATGGTTTGGAGTGTTTACCAAACATCAAAAACTTTCCCAACTTTTTTTTTTAAAGCACCTCAGTACCAAACCCACTGTTCTAAAAATCCCCGCCTAGTGCTGCCTTAGCGCTAAGCAGCTGACTACCATCCCGATTAATGTTTGGGTATTTGAAAATTAAGAAAGGGCGTCTAGACCTGCTGAGACGCCTGCCTAGACCACCTAGTCCATCCAGACTCGCTTAGACACCCGCTTAGGTTGCGACTCATTTAGATAGAAAATAAATAACTTTCCTTTTGCATTTTATTGTTACCAATAATGAGCTTTTGATTAAGATGCATAATGGGTTCGATTAAGATGCACAATGGGTTCATTAGAATCATACAAGGAATCTACCAAGTCATAGACAGAATGTTTAATACAAAGTTGTCCATATTTTATGGTAAAACAAAGATTGTAATCCATCATATTTAAAGGAAACTAAAAATATTAATATATAGTTCTATACTGGCCCAACTTCAAGGACTTAAACCCATATTTGAGTTAGGGTCTTGTGTAAGGAGGTGACTCATATGAAACAGATTCACTACTACTGTAGCTTCTCATTCTAATAAGATTATGACATGAGGAAAATTTTCAACACATAACAATGTATAGGTAGACCATGATGCCCGTTTCAGTAAACTCGTTTTTCATAAAAGTTGATGTCCCTGTGCAGTGCAAAATTTCTTGGGCAAAGCCATTTTCACATGGATGCAACTGCCACAAGCATTATTGTCCTCAGATAATTGCTTTCTTCCAAATCTTTCCATGATTTATGCATTAGTTGCTTGCAACTCATATCTTTTGTCTCTTTCTTTTATCCCTTCATTATGTTCAAGGTATTCCTTTTCAAAAAAGTGATACTCAAAGTACGTGATTACACCTAAGGATCAAAACGCGCTTTAAATAACCATTACCTATTACTTTACTAGCCTTACATGGATCCAAGGTAAGGAACAAAAAAGTGTTGGTTTTGATGCCAATAGGGTTTAAAGGTTAGACCTGCACTCGAGGTTGTATGCTCGATTTTCCTCTTCCATGCATACTATCCTTTGTATGGTAAAAGAATTTGGCCCTTTTGGCTTTTGCTACTCCTAGCTTTCGTTACCCTACCCCTTGATAAATAGTTTGAGATATATCTCTCATGTCTTGCTAAATCTAGTTTTCAAACGGAAGAGGAACGTAATCGATCTAGAGACCAAAATGGCACTTAGCAACAATGTCATCGGAGCCATCAACTTCGTTGCGATGCTGCTCTCAATTCCAATCATTGGTGCAGGAATTTGGCTCGCAACAGAGCCAGACAATTCTTGTGTAAAACTTATACAATGGCCTGTCATAATTTTAGGCATCTTGTTCCTGGTTGTGGCCATTGCAGGCTTTGTGGGAGCGTTTTGGAGGATCCCATGGCTCCTTATCTCTTACCTCATTGCCATGCTGGTTCTTATAATCTTGCTTGCTGCTCTGGTGGTTTGCATCTACATGGTCACCATTAGAGGCTCTGGCCACCTGGAGCCGAGCCGGTCTTACTTGGAATATCGTCTTGATGATTACTCCGGTTGGCTTCGCCGTAGAGTTCGAAACCCTTTTAAGTGGGCACGCATAAGAACTTGTCTTAGCTCAACAAATATGTGTGATGAGTTGAATCAGAGATATCGCATGGCTCAAGATTTTTTTAACGCGCACATTACCCCCTTACAGGTAAATATTGTTCTATCATTTCTTCCAACATCAATTTATTTTTATTTTTTCACTTGTTTTTCTTCATAGGGATCGGATGTGAATTCCCGCTTTTTTTTTTTCTTTTTTTTTTTGAATGAAGCACGTTGTTACGTGTTTTTAATCCATAAAAAGGTGGAGAGTACATTCTTGCTATTTGTGTTTTTTTTTTTTTTTGTTGGGGTTATAGAATTAATTAATTTATTTATTTATGCAAGGTCAAATTTAAAAATTTGGTAGATTAATTTTTTTTGTAGTTGGGCATAAAGATAAGAAAGTTGAATTCAAATAAAATTTCTTTTTCTGTAATTTATTGTACCATTTTTTGTGGCAAGAAAAAATTTAATTGCACCAATTCCTTTTCTTTTTTCAAATCCATTGTACCATTTTTTGTGGCAAGAAAAAATTTAATTGCACCAATTCCTTTTCTTTTTTCAAATCCAATGTCACATCCCGGCCCGGGGGGACCACTTCCCGGGTCCGCTCCACCACCGTAGCACGATATTGTCCGCTTTGGGCTTACCATTCCCTCACGGTTTTGTTTTTGGGAACTCACGAGCAACTTCCCAGTGGGTCACCCATCATGGGATTGCTCTAGCCCCTTTCTCGCTTAACTTCGAAGTTCCTACGGAACCCGAAGCCAGTGAGCTCCCAAAAGGCCTCGTGCTAGGTAGGGATGAGAATATACATTTAAGGATCACTCCCCTGGGCGATGTGGGATGTTACAATCCACCCCCTT